CACCGGGTCCGGGACGTGAACCGCGGTCGACTACATGGGAGTCCAACAACATAGCCATTACACTAACTGCTGGTCCCTTTTTTTTTCTTTTTTTAAAGAAAGTCTCCCGAGGTGCTGTAGCAGCCACGAGTCGGGCAGGAAGCCCAGGGCAGGCGATGACAAGATGGAACTGTATCTGAGTCCCTGAGGTTCTCCTGGTGGCCAATGTCAGGGCCAGAAGCAGAGTAGACAGCTCTTGGTCTCCAAAAATGGCCCAGGAGTGACAAAGACGGACACCACAGGTGACAGGGCAGGGGACAGCTCCGAGGGGGCACGCACCAGCCCTTCCCGAGGAGAGGGGTCCCAGCTGAGCCCGGGAAGAACGGAGGCAAGGACAGGGTGGGACAGGCTCAGCAGGTGCAGAGGCGGGGACAGCAAGGGGCCGACGCCCAGGCCCGCAGCGGCTCACCTTGAAGCTGCCGGTGACTCCCCTGGCCTTGGAGTTGACGGGCCTGACCAGGAGGCCGCGGCGCAGGCCGCTGTCCAGGGCCTGGCGCAGCAGGTACTTGAAGCGGCAGGCGCCCGCCGCGACGTAGCGCTTGATGGCCGTCACCGACAGGTCGTGCCGCTGCTCCCGCAGCTGCAGGGTCTCCAGGGCCTCCACCACCATGCACAGCATCGTGGGGGCGTGGGGCCCCGCAGGGACGCCCTTGCAGCTCGGGCCTGTGGGACGACCGACGGCAGGACATCACTGGAGCCCAGGCCACCCTGGGCCCCGCGAGGAGGCACGGCTGGGCCCACGGAGAGTGGGCGGGCGGCCTGGGAGGACATGGGGCTCCCTGGTGGCAGTGCTGTCTCAGGTGAGGCTCTTTTTAAAGAATTCGCTCTTCCAGGGACCAGCAGTTAGCGTAATGGCTATGTCGCTGGACTCCCATGTAGCCAACCACGGTTCGAGTCCTGGACCCGGTGGCTTAAACTCACGCTGGGCGGGTGTGCATGTGTGCTCAAGATCCCGAGAGGAGA